TTTACGTATCATTGTAGAGTCTATGTCATGATGGATGACGTCAATAAAATACGAAGTAATTTTACAAAAAAAAAGAATTCTAAAACAAATCAATTTGTACTAATTTTAATCCAAACTTTTGAGAGGATTTACTAGGATCTATGAGGACCTAATAATGGCTATAATGCTAAAGGAGAAAGAAAACAAAAGATATTCAATTTTTTTTTTCAGAATGAAGATCAGAGTTAAAACAGAAATGGTTAGATTCTAAAATAAAATGAAAAAATTAATGAAATAAATTTAAAAAAATTGAAATCAAACAATACAAAAATTGCAAGTATCTACTCTAAAAAATAGGATAATTCACATGCTTCTTATAATTTAATTCATTCTTCTTGACCTATGGCGCTCTACAGAGTGATTGAAAAGTAACTCCCTATTTTAAATTCTTTATTACTGTCAAACAACAAAAAATATCGTCCTGATTTTCTCACCACTTTGAAGCATGGACTATGATATTTTGTTGTAGATGAAACAAATCGATTGATCGTTTGATTGTCTCAGATCAAACCGGAACTTTGTCTTGACAACATCTAAAAAAAATCATTATTTTTAGTAAGTAGTTTATTATTCTTGTACTAAAACTAGGATGTCGGTGTGTGGATTTCGGTGAATATTTTTGCATTGTCCAATCGCATCACAACTTAACATACACACCGAAACAGCTGTACACACACTCACACTGACATCCTGGTTCTAGTACAAAAATAATAAACTACTAAAAATAATGAGTTTTTTTCCCGATGTTGTCAAGACAAAGTTCCGGTTTGATCTGAGACAGTCAAACGATCAATGGATTTGTTCATCTACAACAAAATATCATAGTCCATGCTTCAAAGTGGTGAAAAAATCAGGACGATATCTTTTGTTGTTTGGGAGTAATAAAGAATTTAAAATAGGGAGTTACTTTTCAATCACTCTGTAGAGTGCCATAGGTCAAGAAGAATGAATTAAATTATAAGAAGCATGTGAATTATCCTATTTTTTAGAGTAAATACTTGCAATTTTTGTATTGTTTGATTTCAATTTTTTTAAATTTATTTCATTAATTTTTTCATTTTATTTTAGAATCTAACAATTTCTGTTTTAACTCTGATCTTCATTCTGAAAAAAAGTTGAATATCTTTTGTTTTCTTTCTCCTTTAGCATTATAGCCATTATTAGGTCCTCATAGATCCTAGTAAATCCTCTCAAAAGTTTGGATTAAAATTAATACAAATTGATTTGTTTTAGAATTCTTTTTTTTTCGTAAAATTACTTCGTATTTTATTGTCGTCATCCATTATGATATAGAACTTACAATGATACGTCAAGAAAAAAATTTAAATATATCTATTATTTTTACTATCAATTAAACACTTGATTTACTCGCAAATGATGAATATTTTGAGGTCTTACTCATTGCATGAAGATAACAAGTCATTTGTGGGTATGGGTGTGGGTGTGGTGGGTGTGTGTGAGTGTGGGTGTAGGGAAGAATCACACCCACACCCACCCACACCCACACCCACCCACGCTCTCCACCACACCCACACCCTCTCGTGACTCATCCAGCATGTCAAACTGAAAGAAGGAGCTATGTGTGACAAATCACAGAATAATTTGTGTCACCATTAGTGAGGGATGAGTAAGAGAAACTACTGTCAAGCATTTTGTTTCTTCCTATTATTAATCATAGGACTTTTTTTCCTCACTTCCTCTTGAATCGATCATCAGTGTATGTGTTGCCAATGCGACATGAGTAATAAAGAAAACATACATGTTATATATTAGTGTTTTGACTGACAACGACAATTTGAACTCCGGTTAAAATCATTTTAACTATCGGTCGATTAACTTTCGAGTAAGTATTGAGAAAAATCATCATTTTTATTGTACATACCGATCTGAAATGATTAAGACTATATCACACTCAGTCAGTTCTATTCATTTGACAAGTATCCAGATCTTCACACTAATGATTGACACAAATGAGAAATGACTATAGTACACGGAAGGATGCCTAACACATGCTTATAAAAGAGAAATGTATAAGTGTTTTTAGCATCGTTTTCGATTAGAATCTAGTAAGCTGGTGATGCTCTGGTGAAAATTATTTTTCGCATTAAGATTGTAATTTATGGTTGATCTATCAACAACATACACGAACTATTCAATACGACAATCGAATTTTCTGTTCACAGAAAAGTTTCATTGGGCGAACGATGAAAATCTCGAAGAATTGTCCATTGTATGGCTCGATGCCAATATCAACAGAACCGATGACTCTTTCGAAACCATCAATACATTAAGTTCGATAATTAGCAATTTAAAATTATTAGGTAATATCGATGAATGCATAGATTATATCGATTCTACAACAATTGAAGAAGAGATATTTTTTATTGCTTCCGGTCAATTAGGCGAATCTATTGTGTCAAAAATGTATCAATCGTCGAAAATCGTCTCAATCTGCATATTTTGTTATGATAAATTGAAACATAAAATTTGGTCATATCAATATGAACCTAAAATACGAGGAATTTTCGTTGAAAAAGATTCACTCTATTCGAAACTAATCGCTGATGTTCGATTTCAAATACAAAATAGTTTACCAATGAGCATATTAAGTGAAGATGCTAAACAACGATGTATTCGAGATTTAAATAAGGAAAGTGTCACATTCATGTGGTTTCAATTATTAATTAAAATTTTAATTAACATGAAACGTGAAGAGAATGGGAAAGATGAAATGATAAATTTGTGTCGAAAACAATATAAAACTAATCAATCGGTAACGAAACAAATTGAAGAATTTCATCTTAAATATTATCAGAATCAAGCTATAGAATGGTATAGTAAAAATATCTTTCTTTTTCGTCTTTTAAATCGAGCTTTTCGCAAAGAAAATATTGATGCTATTTATAAATTTCGATTTTTTATCCGTGATCTTCATTTTCAAGTGGATGAATTACATCACCAACATACGAATCAATCGTTTACAAATAATGAAATGATCGTTTATCGTGGGCAACAAATGTCAAAAAATGAATTGAAAACGTTAGAAGAAAATCAAAATGGGCTTATTTCTGTAAATACATTCTTTTCGACAAGTAAATCCTATAATATAGCCAGTGGTTTTACCCCTAGTGGATCAAGCGATTATCCGATTGTTATTTTTACAATTAAAATCAATAATCAAATTCATAATGATCAACCGTTTGCTATTCTTGAAGGTTTAAGTAGTTTTCATCAAGAAGAAGAAGTCTTATTTACGATCGGTACTGTATTTCGAATCAATTTTGTTGAACAAATTACGGATACATTTTGGTCAGTTCAATTAACATTAGCTAGTAAAGAAAATTCCGAATTAAGCGAGCTTATTAATAGTTTAGAAGAAGAAATAGGTGAAGAGCCAACACTCATCCAACTCGGTAAAATGTTTTTCTACATGAGCGATAATGATCGAGTGGAAAAATACAATCGAATTTTACTTGAACAACTATCATTGGCTCATGAAGATTTATCAGCAGTTGATAATAACATTGGAGATGCATACTTGAATCGGGGTCATTATGAAACAGCATCGGAATATTATTATAAAGCACTATCGATAGCATTGGATCTCGAACCAAAGCCTCATATCTATCTAGCTCATTCATATGATTGTATTGGACTATTCAATGATCGAATTGGAAAATATGATGATGCTATCGAATATTTGAAAAAAGCACGTGATATTAAACTAAAATATGTACTATCAAATGAGCGTGTCATGGAATCAACATACAATAATCTTGCTATGGTATACAGACATAAAGCTGATAATGAAAATTCATTAGAAAATTATAAGAAAGTACTTGAAATCGAATTACAATCATTACATCATTTACATCCGAATCTTGCTTCAGTTTATAATAATATCGCACTACTCAATAGTCAAATAGGTAATTATAATGACGCATGGACTTACTATACGAAAGCATTAGAAATCGAACTCAAATCATTGCCATCGAATCATTACAAAATTGGAACAACATATAATAATATAGCACTGCTTCATGTTAGTACAAATAATCAAGTAGAAGCATTAGAATATTATGAAAAAGCATTAAATATATTTCTTGTTAGTTTACAACCTGATCACTCGAATATTGGATCAATTTATTATAATATGGGAGATACTTCTTATAAAATTGGTGATTCGAATAGAGCAATGGATTATTTCAAACAGGCACTTCAAATACAAATCAAATCACTTTTAAAAGATCATATCGATCTTGCAAAAACATGGAATGGTATTGCAGTTATCTATTGTGAGAAAAATAATTATATTGATGCACTTGAACATTGTCAAAGAGCACTTGATATACAATTAAAATCATTGCCAATCGATCATCCCGATTTAGCTGGAACTTATTTTAATATGGGTACAATCAATTCAAAATTGGATAGACATAACGAAGCATTGAACTATTATTTATCATCATTAAAAATTTTCAAAGACGATTATCCTAATCTGGCAGTATTGTATTCTCATGCTGGAAAGACCTATTTGTTATTGAATAATTATCAACAAACAATTCAATATTACAAAAAAGCGCTCGAAACTCAATTAAAAATGTCGTCAATCATAAATGACGAACTAGCAATTATATATAAAGGTCTTGGGTTAATTTACAATAAACAAGGTCAATATGTAGAATCAATAAAAAACTACAAACAAGCATTAGAAATTCAGTTCAAACTACAGAATCAGCTTGAAATATCAATAATCTATTCTTACATCGGAGAAAATTATCATCGACAACGCCAATACCAAGAAGCATTGAAAAATTACCGAAAAACTATTGAGATTCAATTAAATTTGTCTCCAATCAGGTATTTGGATTTAGCAATAATTCATAGTAATATGGGCTTTGCTTATTATGCCGAAAGAGATTATCAAAATGCATTAGAATGTTTCAAACAAGCATTTAAAATCCAAATAAAATGTCTTGAACAGAATCATCCATCTATAATTCTTCCATACAACAAAATTGGTGCAGCTTATCGTGAACTTCATAATTATAATAATGCATTAAAAATTTATACAAAAATATTAGAAATTCAAGCAAATTCTTCACCAGATAATGATTTCGATATGGCAAAAACGTTGAATAATATTGGATTCATATTTTGTCAACAAGGGTATCTAACAAAAGCATTGGAGAATTTCAACAAAGCTTTAGAAATTCAATGCAAATGTTCGTGCAGTAACATACAATAATATTGCCGGTGTTTATTTAAGGCAATAAAAAGATGACCTAGCCATCTTCAATGCAAAAAAATCTCTTGAATATTGCCCAAAAGATCATCCATCACTTGCGGAAACATACGACATTTTAGCTGAACTATTTCTGAAACAAAACCAATTCAATGAAGCTGCAGATGCCTATTCGAAAAAAATCGAAATTATGAAGAAAAATCATGATAACAATTATCTGGAACTAGTCAAGACTTATAAGAATTTAGGGATGATTCATATTCGTCTATTCAATCATGATTTGGCTCTAATTAACTTCGAAGAAACACTTCATATCGAACAATATACACTTCCATCGAATCATTTGAATTTTGCTATCACATATAATACCATTGCAGGTGTTTATGCTACTCAAGATAATTATGATCAAGCATTAAGATATTATCGTAAAGAATTGGAAATTCGTTTAATAGCATCAGAATCGAACTATTCAGATCTGACTATGACCTATCGAAATCTGAGCATTATCTATTGCAAATTAGACAAATACATTGATGCATTTCAGATGAATGAAATAGCACGAAACATTGTCATTGAGCATTTTCATCGGATAATATGCAACTAATGAAGTTATACTCTGAATTGGGAAGAATTTATTATATGACGAAACATTTTGATAGTGCATTGGAAAATTATACAAAATCACTTCAATTAAGATTGAGAATTTTACCAGTTGACGATTTGAAATTTATAGAAATCTACGAGAATCTTGATGATCTCTATTATCAAAAACAGAATTCGAATAATCGAATGAACATTTCAATTGATGATCGTCTGCACAGTGAACGCTTTACTTCATTGACATATTATACGATTGGACATGTTTTCAATCAAATGAATAATTATAAAAAAGCATTGTTTTATTATGAAAATGCTCACCGTATTGAATTACAAATGTCAACACCGAATCCTTTAGATATTGACGAGTATAAAGAGAGTATTAGTCGAACTAAAAACAAATTATCATATTTCAACAGTCAAAAACTGATACAACTATTATTTACAATAAATGAATATTTATTCAACTCAGGTTAAAATGAGATTGTTGATTACTTCATAGACTAATTAACCGATCTAATTTTTGTTTCACAAACCTTCTAAATGTTGTTGTTGTTGTTGTAGTAGATGATAATCGCAATTGTCTTACGATGATAACAAGTAGCATGAACAGATGATCTTGTGAAACAATGTTAAGTTGCACTTTTTAACCATCAAAATCGAAATAAAAGAACTGAGATTGTCGATTTAAATGCGTTTTGTTATTGAAGACAATAAAGAATTTAATCATCGTCGATGGGTGGATGTGGGTGTGGGGTCGGTGTGAGTATGTTTGAAGAAAAGGTTCACACCCACACCCACAGTCCACACCTACACCCACACCCAACCACACCCACACCACTAAACACTAAAAGTTGTATATTCTCTATTGGACCTTATACAAATAAGTGCCAAGAAAGTCTCGATTAGGGTTAGTAGTTGAACTATTAATTTAAAGTAAAATAAAATAGGAGCACTTTAAGCTTTAACTTTCAAAAAGTTAAAGTTAAATTAAATTTCTTCACAGCTTTTTCTTTGTAAAAAATGAAATGCATGTGAAAGAAGTGATATTTTTTGTGAAAAAATGATCTTTTAAAATAAATAATTTTTTTAATGAAAGAAACACCTTCTTTTTGCAAAAAAATCTTGTGGAAAAATCTACATCAATTTTAAAGCTTAAAATAATTAACTTTAACTAAACGTACTGTATCAAAGTAGTTTTAAAGTTAAAGTGCGACCGTAGTCTTGATGTCTACAAAGTACAAGAGAAGGGAATGCGGGATCGACGACTCAGGAGATCGATTGGAAGACATTCTTAGATTCGACCGGATTTTATAGATTCCAGTGCTATTTCTAGAATTAATGAGAAAAATACTCAATACAACACTGAAAACTCGCTTGTTAAAAACGCAAATTGGGGAAGTGTGCCTATCTTACAATAGGAAAGCTCTGATAAATTCATACGAAATATATCTTTTTTTTAATATAATTCTAATGATCAACACCTTGAAAACTTTGTGATACTTTGTGTAAAAAAAACAGAGTGTCATGTTGCACTTTGATGACAAAAGTAAAATATGATTTGACTTTTTGTTTTAGATTTCTATTAGAAACACTGCAAAACACAGTCGACATTCACATTCAAAATTGTTCGATAGAAAATGTTGTCTACTCGTCGTTATTATCAACCATAATCTACATTTGAGATTTTTCAAGTATGGTCATTTCAAATTATCAAAATATATCTATATACCATGTTTTAGGTATAATCAATTGATTAATCAACAGTCAGCATGGGTACGTTTAAAAAAATATTAATAGTCAACTAAATAAAGTTAATACATCAAATTTTTCAATAATTATTCGTAAATTATTTAATGATAATATTATTCGTCGTTGTGGTTTATTTGGTCATAGATTTTGTCGTACATCTATGGAATTATATATTGAACGTTTCTTAACATTTTTTTCTGAAACACAATCTCAAATCAATGTTGAAGTTAGGGATGTTATGGTAGCATTAAGTTAAAAATAATGCTAATACTTTTGCATTAACATTAACATTAACAATTAACACTAATGCTTTAGCATTAATAGCATTACGGTTCATTAATGCTTAGGTGTTAGTATGAATTTAGCATTATTTTTAACTCTAATGCATACACCCACTGTCAGTTCTAGATCACTACTTTGAAATACTACCTTTAATTTTGTAAGGGCTACCTGGGGGTACTCTTTATAACTTTTCAAGAGGTATCTTGGAACACTCTATGTAACTTTTTAATGGGTACCTGAGAGTACTCTTTGTAACTTTTTAAGAGCTACCCACTGGTACTCTGTGTAACTTTTTATGGCGACATGGCTAGTTGATGTTACGTAATTTGATTTGGAATATTATACAATGTTTTCATTGAATGAAGTCAGATCGATACGAATGCAAAGTATTCAGTGGATTTCAAAGTCCCTGAAAAGATCTTAGAAAAAAAAGTAACGAACAATTCTTTAACGTTCTGGTTTTGGTCTCACTAGTTTGATTTATAGAGATTAATTGTATAGAGTTCACTCTAGAAACGTGTTCCTGAGTGTATCGGATATTATGTACGGATCGTGGAACGTTGCAGGACGCATCGCCTACACCCACACTAGAGACGTGCGGAGTCAACTTTTTTCATTCCGAAACCCGACTCCGACTCCGAAATATTTTTTTTGCACCTCCGATTTCAACTCCGAAAAACTCCGAAATTTTTTAACAATGTCATTTAAAAATAAGACGTCCTCAGCAGTCAAAGGCTTCTTTAATGACTTAATATGCGCACTTTTTACACTAAAAACCTCAAGTTTCTCTTAAAAAAAGCCAGTTTCTGGGTGTTATCATCTTCAAACTCGCTTTTTTCCCTCAAGAAAAACCCTTTTTGAATGTGTAAAAAATTCACAGTTTTGCTCCTAAAAATGCGTTTCTGTTACTGATTTTACCGGCCTTGGATATTCTTTGTCTAAAAAAGGAAGAACTAATGATGAAGATAGTCGTAGTACTTTGAATGACATTAATATATCTTTTTTTACTAATGTTGTTATATTTTCATCTCACTTGGTCATTCGAGTGTTATAACTGAAAAGTGATTCGCTCATTTTTCTGTCCTACAGATGATATTAATCTATGTGACAGATATTACGTTTTATTTTTATATTTACTGATGTTAAAAATTAAGTTTTGGTAAATCGAAAAAAAAAATATCGGAGTCCTCCGCAGGTCTCTAACCCACACTCTTTATTCTGCCAAACTAATATTTTATTTTTTCGAAATATATCAACAATTTTAGACACAACGAGAAATATTCATTTGACTTTAATTCTTTACAAGAATTATTTTTCTCAATAAGTGCTTTAAGCATAGTCATATATAATTCATCTGACTAATAATTATAAACTTATTAGCAAATATCTCATAAATAATACACGAAAAATTTTTGAAAGCTTCGGAATAGTTTCTGTGGCATGAATTGCATCTAGAGTGACATTTTCAGCTAGATCGAACTTCAATAAATTTTCTCTTGTCGACTCCAATTTTCTAAAAATCTAATCAAATCCTGAAATAAAAAAATATTTGTATTATTATCATGTAGAGATTCTCAAGAAAGATTTGTACCGTTTAAAATTAGTTTTGAATTTCTCATTTGGTTATAAGACCTTTTTTCGTGTGTATATTCGTGTTCTATCATGTCCTCGACGAAAAGCCGATCGTTTTTTTCTTGAACAATCTAGGAATAAGTGTGGTTAGAGATCTAACCCCACAGCCACACACCCACGTAAAGTAATCGAAGTATGAAGTATCATGTTTCTCCCTTGCCCACATCCCACACCCACACCAAAGTTAACGCTATGCCTCTTCACTTGGTTCAAACAGTGAGGGATGTTTCAATGGAGAGCAACTAAATTTCTTCTCTCGATCAATAGGACATATTTTGGCATCCGATATTTATTTTTCAACATATCATTAAGCGATTAGAAATGGTGCGTTTTTCTTTGTAAATAAAAGCATGCAAGTAATTAAGTGAGTCACATGCCAACATTCATGGACGATTCCGCTGTTGATTACGCTTAATCCGTTCACGTATACGATCTGAAAGTTTCCATCCAATTGAATTCGAAGCCAGATCTAGTCTAGTGAGTGTCTATGCGAAAAAGCGGAGATATGCATATAAAACAGATTGAAAAAGAAAGACGGTTACCGTATTCACTTCTAATGCATCAACCAGATATTGTGCTCCTTGGTCATCGATTTCATTGCGTATGAGACTTAATGTGGCGAGTGTCTGTGTGAGAAATTGTAGCTGAGGATATGAGAGAGATGAAGAGACAATGAGTATTACCGTATTATTTTGTAATGCATCAGCCAAATGTTTTGCTCCGACAGCTTCGATTTGATTTCCTGTCAGATCGAGCGTGGTGAGTGTCTGCGTGAGAAATCGTAGACGGTGATATGAGAGGCACAAAGTGATCATGAGTATTACCTTGTTGTTTCGTAATGCATCAGCCAAATGTTGTACTTCTTTGTCTCCGATATGAAACCATATGAGATGAAGTGCGGTGAGTGTCTGTTTGAGAAAATGAAGATGAGGACATGAAAGAGATTAAGAGAGAATGATGGTTACTGTGTTCTTCTCAAATGCATCAATGAGATCTTGTGCTCCGACAACACTGCCTCCAGTTCGTTCGAGACATAGTGTGGTGAGTGTCTGTGTGGAATAGTGAAGATGAGGATATGAGAGAGATAAGGAGAAAATGATGGTTACCGTGTTATTTCGTAACACATCAGCCAGATGTTTTGCTGCTTCGTTTCTGCTTTCGTAATATGACAGCTTTAGCGTGGTGAGTGTCTATGTGAAAAGTACAGATGGGGATATGAGATCGATGGAGACAGAATGAGCATCACCTTGTTAATTTTTAATGAATCAGCAATTTGTTTTGCTCCGTCAACTCCGATTCGATTAGATCTGAGATCAAGTGTTCTGAGTGTCTGTGTGGAAAAATACAAATGGGATTATGAGAGAAATGAAAAGAGAATCAGGTTCACCGTGTTATTTTTCAGTGCACCTGCCAGATGTTCGGCTCCTCTGTCTCCAACGCTATTCCCATAGAGACCGAGTATAGTCAGTGTCTGTATGAAAAAGTGAAGATGGAAATATGAGATAGACGAAAAGAGAATGAGAGTTACCGTGTTCTCTTGTAATGCGTCAGCCAGAAGTTCTGCTCCTCCGTCTTTGATTTCATTCCCGTCAAGATCTAGTACAGTAAGTGCCTGCGTCAAAAAGTGTAGATGGAGATATAAGTGACACGAAGCGAGAATAAGGGTTACCTTATTATTTCGTAATGCACCTGCCAGATATTCTGCTCCTTTGTCATCGACCCCATTGCCGTGTAGATTTAATATTGTTAGTGCCTGTGTGAAAATGAGCAGATATATATGAGAGCCACGAACAAATAATGAGTATTACCGTATTTTTTCCTAATGCCGCAGCAAGATGTTGTGCTCCGGTAGTTCCGATTTCATTTCGTTCGAGATCTAGAGCGTTGAGTGTCTGTGAGGAAAAGTGCAGATGGAGATATGAGAGAGATGAAGAGAGAATGAGGATTACCATGTTCTTTTGTAATGCAGCAGCCAGGTGTTCTGCTCCGACAGGTCCGATTTGATTCCAGTTGAGATAGAGTGTGGTGAGTGTCTGTGAGAAAAAGTGCAGATGGAGATATGCGAGAGATGAAGAGAGAATGAGTATTACCGTGTTCTCTTGTAATGCTTTAGCCATATGTTCTGCTCCGACAGGTCCGATTTGATTCCAGTTGAGATAGAGTGTGGTGAGTGTCTGCGTGAAAATTTGCAGATGGGGACATGAGAGAGATTAAGACAGAATGAGTATTACCGTGTTCTCTTGTAATGCTTTAGCCAGATGTTCTGCTCCGACAGCTTCGATTTTATTTCCTGTAAGATCAAATATGGTGAGTGTCTGTGTGAAAAAGTGCAGATGGAGACATGAAAGAGATGAAGAGAGAATGAGTATTACCGTGTTTTTCTGTAATTCATCAGCCAGATATTGTGCTTCGACGGTTCCGATTTGATTATATCTCAGATTTAGTGTGGTGAGTGTCTATGTGAAAAAATACAGATGGGGATATGAGAGGGATGAAAATAGAATGAGAATTACCGGGTTATTTCGTAATGCATCAGCCATTTGTTGTGCTTGTTTGTGTCGGATTAGTTTCTCTGGAACATCTTGTCCGGTGAGTGTCTGTGTGAATGTTTGGATATTGTGGTATGTTGTATTGAAATTGAGTAACAGAACGGGGAAGATACGACTACTTAATACGCTCGAGCATAGAAAGAATGGTAGCTATTGAAGTAGAAGATTTGTGGATATCTCGAAAGCGAGGAGTTTGATGCAGGCTGGATATACAGAGTCTGTATATTGAAAGCTTTGGAAAGTGTCCGGGAACATGGAGTTGGAAATAGATTGAGGTTCAATTTGATAGGGCATAGCTTTATAGTTTGTTAACGAGAATATAAAAGAAAGCTAAAAGATGAAGTATTGTGTGCTATTTCTGCTGAACGTGGAATCAAATTATCCTAGTTGTTAAATATTGTGGGTTTGATGAACAGTTGAGTTGGCACGAGCGAAATTAAAAGTGAATAGAACCTTGAGATTTGAATGTGTTATAAAGACTAGGGAAATTTAGATCATAATGTGACTTGAAAATGATTAAGTACTCAAATAAGTTGCACTCGAGGAGACAGAACCCTTTATCTAGTCGAAAGAATAATTCTTTCATTTGACGAAGATATTTCATATAAGAAAGCAAAAGAATTTATTTAGTTGACTTTTTTCTCTAAGTAAGAAATCGCTTCAAATGGTAACCTATCGGATATATTCAAAAAATAATAATGTAACTGTAACGGTTGATTTTGTTTCGTTGCAACGTTATGAATTACTTTGAAAAATATGTATTTCAATCGAAAAAACTTTACTGAGTGATCGC